GGTGTGTGGACCAGGTGTTTACAGGTGAAACATATAAGTAAAACAGTATTTAGATAAGGCTAAAGAGGTCTTTGTGGCATTTATGGATTTGGAAAAGGCGTATGACAGGGTGGATAGGGGGGCAATGTGGCAGATGTTGCAAGTGTATGGTGTGATGTGTGATGTCACCGTGGTTGTTTAATATATTTATAGATGGGGTTGTAAGAGAAGTAAATGCGAGGGCCTTGGCAAGAGGCGTGGAGTTAAAAGATAAAGAATCACACACAAAGTGGGAGTTGTCACACCTGCTCTTTGCTGATGACACTGTGCTCTTGGGAGATTCTGAAGAGAAGTTGCAGAGATTGGTGGATGAATTTGGTAGGGTGTGCAAAAGAAGAAAATTAAAGGTGAATACAGGAAAGAATAAGGTTATGAGGATAACAAAAAGATTAGGTGATGAAAGATTGAATATCAGATTGGAGGGAGAGAGTATGGAGGAGGTGAATGTATTCAGATATTTGGGAGTGGACATGTCAGCGGATGGGTCTATGAAAGATGAGGTGAATCATAGAATTGATGAGGGGAAAAGGAGTGAGTGGTGCACTTAGGAGTCTGTGGAGACAAAGAACTTTGCCCTTGGAGGCAAAGAGGGGAATGTATGAGAGTATAGTTTTACCAACGTCTTATATGGGTGTGAAGCATGGGTGATGAATGTTGCAGTGAGGAGAAGGCTGGAGGCAGTGGAGATGTCATGTCTGAGGGCAATGTGTAGTGTGAATTTAATGCAGAGAATTTGTAGTTTGGAAGTTAGGAGGAGGTGCGGGATTACCAAAACTGTTGTCCAGAGGGCTGAGGAAGGGTTGTGAGGTGGTTCGGACATGTAGAGAGAATGGATTTAAAAACAGAATGACTTCAAGAGTGTATCAGTCTGTAGTGGAAGGAAGGCGGGGTAGGGGGTCGGCCTAGGAAAGGTTGGAGAGAGGGGGTAAAGGAGGTTTTGTGTGCGAGGGGCTTGGACTTCCAGCAGGCATGCGTGAGCGTGTTTGATAGGAGTGAATGGAGACAAATGGTTTTTAATACTTGACGTGCTGTTGGAGTGTGAGCAAAGTAACATTTATGAAGGGGTTCAGGGAAACTGGCAGGCCGGACTTGAGTCCTGGAGATGGGAAGTACAGTGCCTGCACTCTGAAGGACGGGTGTTAATGTTGCAGTTTAAAAACTGTAGTGTAAAGCACCCTTCTGGCAAGACAGTGATGGAGTGAATGATGGTGAAAGTTTTTCTTTTTCGGGCCACCCTGCCTTGGTGGGAATCGGCCAGTGTGATAATAAAAATTTAAAAAAAAATTTTGTTACTGTTATGAGTGCTGAGTGGGTGAAATTGCCAGTGCATAAATTGTATTGAGACTGCTAATTTTGTGACTCCCAAATTCCATAAGTTTTCCATCAAATTTCATTCTTTTGGTGTCATTACCTTATTTTTTTTTTTTTTGGGGGGGGGGGGAGTCTGGACATTGAAAGGATTAAATGTTAGGGAATTTTTTTTTTCAGAAGGTAATGACACCAAAAATATGAAATTTAATGAGAAACTTGCAAAATTATGCATGTACGATGTTGGCAGTTTAGACTCAGTTTAACCAAATTCTTAGCTATTTTGTTAGTATGCTTTTCCTTCTATTGACTAATCACAAGAAACTGCCCAGTTGACTGTCAGAACTTCCCTATAAAATGCAATTTATAAACAGAATCCAAAATAAACACTGCAATCCAGCAATTAAAGCAGCATATCCTCTCTCCTTTAATCATGTCATATTACACTTGTTCTCCATTTTGAATCCATCGTCATCATCACACAAAATATAGAAGTTTTACCCTATTTCTCAGATAATAAAATATAACCAAGAATGATTGGTCATGCTTTAGGGCATCCTAATAAGTGAAGCAGATCTACAAAAAAACAAAACTTACCAGGGAGTGTAGAGGGACCTTACCCTTCAGGAAAATTTAAAAAATTCAAGCATTTCTACTTTGAGCTTTAGTTCAATCTGCTTCCAAGCAAAATCATCTTTCTCAGTAGTATGTCTTCCATTCTATCAGTTAATGTTAACCCTTTCAGGGTCCAAGGCCAAAATCTGAAGTCACGCACCAGTGTCCAAGAATTTAAAAAAAAAAAATTGTTATTTTTTCTTATGAAATCGTAGAGAATCTTTTTGTGAAGGTAATAAAACAAAAAGTACGAAATTTGGTGGAAAATTGACGAAATTATGCTCTCGCGAATTTTGATGTGTCAGCGATGTTTACGAGTCGGCGATTTTGCCGACTTTGACTCCCATTTTAGACCAATTACATTATTCCAATCAACCAAATTCTTAGCTATTTCACTAGTATTACTTCTATTCTATCGATTAAGCACAAGAAATCGCCAAATCAACTGTTTCAACTACAAAATAAAGTGATCGGAAATTGTTAATTTGGTCAATTTAACACAAAGTTCAAAATATTCCATTTCAAATAGGCTCCAGAATAAACAATGTAGGTATTCCTGGAAACTAAACTAAACATTTCCTCTGTTCATTAGTTACATTTTGAGGCTTTACAAATAAATTCCATTTTGATTTTTTATTCACATAATGAATTTTTATTCACACCAAAAAATAGAAGATTTACTGTTATGCAATACTGTAATAATTGTATAAATATCATCACCATATTTGTGAATGTATATTAGACCCACCAGCTGACGTGTATTAGATGTGTGAGGTCGTTTGTTTACTCTTGAATATCGGCAAAAATTTAAACATTTCGCTACTTTGATCTCAGTTTCAAGCCATTTCCAGTGCTAAAAACAATCAAAATCATCTCTATTTCTGTAATATGTCTTCCATTCTATCAAATGAGACCAAGAAATCGCAAATACAACTATAAAAAACATACGAAAAAACACTGCAAAGTCGCTGTTTTAATAAAAAAATCATGATTTCAGTTTTTTTCTCTCATTATACACAGTGTGCTGCAGGATCTGTTTTATGTGGTGCACACATACCACATAGATGTATTCTCACATATCTAGGCCCAAATGTACCACTCACAGTTTATCAGAGTGAGCTGAGCTTATGGCGTAGATCTACGGTTTGGACACTCACCGTAAAGCCGTAGATCTACGGGGCGGACCCTGAAAGGGTTAAGAAACAGCCAATAAAACCATAAAAATCATCCAGGAAAACACCTCAGAGTTGTTATTTTAAACCAAACTCGGAGTCAGAGGTTTGCTTTTCCCCTCATCCACTGTGTGTGGCAGGATTTTTTATGCTGTGCACACTCACCACACAGACCCATTTTCTCATGTCTAGGCCAAAATATAGCGCTTGAAGCATATATGAGATCACTGTGATTAAAACGTGGATTTACGTAGGAGACAGTGAAAGGGTTAAGTGTATACTTCCCTTTCTACTATTCACAGAGGCTGGCTATTTCAGAAATTCTCATTATTTTCTTGTTTAAATAAAAGAAAGACAGGTTTCTATAATTCTGAATTTTTTTATTTAGACATCTCATACACATTCCCTGTGATAGGTTTGAGGGTTCTTCTGCCCCTCACAGCCCAGCATGAGGCCAGGCTTTTCTGTTGACTGCCAGGCTGTTGGTGCTACTGGCCTACAGGCCCACATGTAGCCATTGCAACCTGGATAATTAGGTACTTGTGGGAGATAGATGTCTAGATTTCCTGGCAATATTTCTAATGCCTGCAAGTAATGAGTAGAACAGTCTTGGACCATGGATATTGAGTGTTCTCTAATTGTGCCTGTGTTGCCACTACCTTTCACTAGGTTTATTCTACATTTCCTACCATATCTCGTACTTCAGAAAGTTTCTGTGGTAGTTCACAGATTGTGATTCAAGTATTTTCAAGTATAAAGTATGAGAAAGATGTGTGTAACTTGAGATGTTCATAAGTTGGAGGCCTGTGATAAGAAACATGAACAGATAAGTCACATTTTGCTCTCTTCATCTGTACACATTTTCCATAACCACTACTGGTATTCTTTCAAAAGAAATTTCATACATTTAACAGTTTCTGAGATGTATTACACCACATCATACCTTGACACTATATTTAAATAAGTTAGTCTTTTTTAATAGGAGAACAGTTTGATTATTTTTATTACATTTGTGGGGAAGCACTAAACCCATAGGCACTCAGGCTCCTTTCAAGAAAAGAGAGGATTGGTGCAGTTCCATGGAAGAAGGGCCTCTCACTGGCATCAAAGCACCTACCTCCTCTGAGGGTTTCACAGTTAATGAACTCAGAGTTACTAACATCTGTACTTATGAATGTGGTAAATAGGTACCTATTTAAGTTTTCACACCTGCAGCTACTCATTTATGGACACGTACATCACGATTAATTTCTGTTGGAAATTAGGTTCCCTTTTACATACAACTTCTTTGTAAGTTGGAGCACCAAGAATGCAACTCATGAGTTTGGAACTTCATTCCCTATATCTTAGTCACCAAATATATCTCTTGTATCTTCCCTCAGTAACAAATTTATTTTCCTACTTCCTGTGAAACTATTTAGAAATTTTATCTTAGATTAATTTGTCATGAAAGTTATTTTTGCTTTCTTCTTACAGAAAAGGACTGGATACATGGCTATGGTTGCTGCTATAAATAGGGCTATTGATGAGGGAAAGAAAATGTATGACCCGAGATTTTATAGCAAGCTAACAATAGATGACATCGTACACATATTTCGTTCTGATACTGTGTCAACCATGCCACTATTTGAAGAGCGTATTCATGTGCTGAAAGAGGTGGGGGATAAGCTTATTGAGAAGTACGATGGAACATTTGTAAGTGTCCTGAGAAAGGCAGATGGTAGTGCCATGAAGCTAATTGACCTTGTGACTAATGAATTTCCATGTTTTCAAGATATTACCTTTTACGAAGGACAGAGAGTGGCTTTATTTAAGAGAGTGCAGATTCTTGCAGCTGATTTATGGATGCTGTACCGTGGAGAAGGACTCGGGGCATTTACTGACATAGACTCTCTTACTATGTTTGCTGACTACAGAGTTCCCCAAGCCATGGCCTATTTTGGAGTTTTGAAATATTCTGACAACTTAATGCAGAAACTTAGAAATGAAACTCTGTTTCAGTCTGGGGATCGAGAGGAGGTAAGTACTAACCTGCTTTAGTTTTTCTTGATGTATGTACAGTAGACCTGCTTATAAGACACATTTATGCAGCACATTTTTGTGATCAGATGGATGAATTGCAGTCTAAATTTATGTAAGACACCACAGCTGATAAAACATAAACTCACAGCCATCTAGCACTCAGTAATCACATAAACATCTCCAAATATAGTTTTATCATCAAGCAGGAGAATAAGGAAATTTAAGGTGGAACAAAGTGAATTGTGATCAAGTCAGCTGATAAAATGCATGAGTTCAGTCAACCAATAAAATACAACCTGTAGCACTACACAAATGGTCTACATGACTATCTCCAAATACTAATACATCAACAAGCAAGAGAACAAGGAATTTAAAGAAGGATAAAATTCTTCCTTGTCACTGTTATGAATGAGAAAAAGTGAATTGTGTGATAGTGTCATTAAATGAAATGTATGAGTTGAGTCAGCTTATATAACGTAAATAAAAGTCTCATTGATGTTGGATGCTCAGTAGTAGCATAATCATCTCCAGATACTTCTCTATTAACAAGCAAAAGAAGGAATTTAAGGTAGGATAAAATTTCTTCCTTGTTACTGTGTATTATGAGAAAATTGTATATTCAGATATATAAGTGGCATCAGTTAATAAAACAAATAGGTGACCCACAGCCATATATTACTGGAGTATACCTGGAGAGGGTTTTGAGGGTCAACACCCCCGCAGCCCGGTTTGTCACCAGGCCTTATGGTGAATCAGGGTCTGGTCAACCAGGCTGTTACTGCTGGCTGCATGTAAACTGACATATGAACTACAGCTCAGCTGATAAAGTACTGATTTTAGGTGCCTGTCCAGCACCTTGAAGACAGCCAGGGGTTTATTGGTAATCCCCCTTATGATCAGTTAAACTACATAACCATCTCCAAACACTTCTATATCTGCAGTGTAGGGTAAAAAAATTTTATTTCTACTTTTAATATTTTATTCTGACTTGACATGCTGTTGGAATATGAGCAAAGTAACATTTATGAAGGGGTATGGTGAAACTGGTTAGCCAGACTTGAGTCCAGGAGGTGGGAAGTACAGTGCTTATATGAAGGAGGAGTAGAGATATGTTCCAGGTACAGGTCAGCCATCACTAATCTGGCACTAATTTTGGCTAGAATAATTTCAAATTTCATCATCATACTGACTCAGAAATTGTGCAGATGGTTGTAAATCCACAGCAGCAAGCCAGTGGAGGAGAAAGCAGTGATGAAAATGAGGAAGATATAGCAGAAATAGTCTCTGTTGATACGTTAATTAACCCTTTGACTGTTTACGTCGTATATATACGTCTTACGTGCCAGTGTTTCTGACATATTAATACCCGAAAATTCTAGCGGCTTCAGATCAAGCGGGAGAAAGCTGGTAGGCCCACATGTGAGAGAATGGGTCTGTGTTGTCAGTGTGCACCACATAAAAAAAATCCTGCAGCACGCAGTGCGTAATGAGAAGAAAAAACTGACCGTTTTTTTGGATTAAAACGCCGACTTTGAGGTGTATTTTCGTATAGTATTTATTGTTGTATTCTCATTTTCATGGTCTCAAGTGATAAAATGGAAAACATATTACAGAAATAGAGGTGATTTTGATTATTTTCACGATGGAAAACGAGTTTGAAATTGAGCTCAAAGTAGCGGAAATGTTCGATTTTTACCAATGTTTAGGAGTAAGCAAATCACACCACATGTCCAATACACGTCAACTGGGGAGTCTAATATTCTTTCACTAGTGCACTTATATTATTTATACCATTTTTACAATAATGCAGTAGTCTGCATACCAGTAAATTTGTATTTTTTGTATGAATAAAAAATCAAAATAGAAAGCTTTAGTAATATAAGAGGGGTCTAGAGATGTGACTAATGAACAGAGGATATGTTATTTTAGTGCCAAGAATGTCTACATTGTTTATTCTGGACCCTATTTTGAAATAGGCATCTTTTTTAATTTGTGTGAAATTGGCCAAATTGCCAATTTCTGACCACTTTGTTGAGTAGTTCAAATCGGTAAATGGGCAGTTTCTTGTACTCAACTGATAGATAAAATGGAGTTCTAAAGAAATAGCTGTGAGTTTGGTCAACTGGAACAACGGAATTGGCTAAAAACAGGGCTCAAAGTCGGCGAAATCACTGATACATATACAGTGGACCCCCGGTTAACGATATTTTTTCACTCCATAAGTGTGTTCAGGTGCCAGTACTGACCAAATTTGTTCCCATAAGGAATATTGTGAAGTAGATTAGTCCATTTCAGACCCCCAAACATACACGTACAAACGCACTTACATAAATACACTTACATAATTGGTCGCATTCGGAGGTAATCGTTATGCAGGGGTCCACTGTATGTTGCCGAGACCGCTAAATTTGCGGGAGCGTAATTCCGTGAGTTTTTGACCAAATTTCATACTTTTGGTGTCGGGAAAAGATTCTCTATCATTTCATAAGAAAAAATAATTTTTTTTTCCAAAAATTTATCGACATAGAATAACAGTTTCAGAAAGGGCCCTGCGACAGTCAAAGGGTTAAGTGTACAGTGGACCCCCGCATACCGTACGCATTGCATAACGTACAATCCGCATACCGGACGCTTTGATCGCTAAAATTTTGCCTCGCATACCGCCCAAAAACCCGCTCACCGCCCTTCGTCCGAGACGCGTCCAGTGTGCGGCCTGAGCCAGCCTCATATGTTCCGCCGGTGGCATTGTTTACCAGCCAGCCTCCGCGGTAACATCCAAGCATACAATCGGAATATTTCGTATTATTACAGTGTTTTCGGTGCTTTATCTGGAAAATAAGTGACCATGGGCCCCAAGAAAGCTTCTAGTTCCAACCCTACAGAAAATAAGGGTTAGAATTCCAATAGAGATGAAGAAAGAGATCATTGATAAGTATGAAAGTGGAGTGCGTATCGCCGACCTGGTCAGGTTGTACAAGAAACCCAAATCAACCTCTCTACTATTGTGGGCAACAGAAAGGCAACCAAGGAAGCTGTTCTTCCCAAAAGGGTTTTTAACTGTGTTTTCGAAACAGAGATTGCAAGGATGGAAGATGTTGAGAGACTCTTATTGGTGTGGATAAATGAAAAAACAGCTAGCAGGAGATAGCGTTTCTCAAGCGATCATAAGCGAAAAGGCTAGGAAGTTGCATGAGGATTTAATTAAAAAAATGCCTGCAATTAGTGATGATGTGAGTGAATTTAAGGGGCCAGCAAAGGTTGGTTTGAGGGATTTAAGAAGCGTAGTGGCATACATAGTGTGATAAGGCATGGTGAGGCTGCCAGTTCGGACCCAAAGCGGCTGAAAAATATGTGCAGGAATTCAAGGAGTGCATAGACAGTGAAGGACTGAAAACCGAACAAGTGTTTAAATTTTGATGAAAACAGGCCTGTTTTGGAAGAAAATGCCAAGCAGGACCTACATTACTCAGGAGGAAAAGGCACTCCCAGGACATAAGCCTATGAAAGACAGGCTTACTTTGTTGATGTGTTCCAATGCTACTGGTGATTGCAAAGTGAAGCCTTATTAGTGATCACTCTGAAACTCCCAGACCGTTCAGGCAAAAGAATGTCCTCAAGGAAAATTTGTGTGTGCTGTGGAGGGGAAACAGTAAGGCATGGGGCACTAGGGACTTTTTCTATGACTGGTTACACCATGCATTTGCCCCCAATGTGAAAGATTACCTAACTGAAAAGAAAATTAGAACTTAAGTGCCTCCTGGTGTTAGACAATGCCCCTGGTCATCCTACAGACGTGGCAGAGCGACTTTATGGGGACATGAAATTCATTAAGTGAAGTTTTTGCCTCCTAATACCACTCCTCTCCTGCAGCCCATGGACCAGCAGGTTATTGCAAACTTCAAAAAACTGTACACAAAAGCCTGTTTGAAAGGTGCTTTGTAGTGACCTCAGAAACTCAACTGACTCTAAGAGACTTTTGGAGAGATCACTTAATATCCTCAATTTTATAAACCCTTTTAGGTAAGGCTTGGGAGGGAGTGACTAAGAAGACCTTGAACTCTGCTTGGAAGAAAAATGTGGCCAGAATGTTTTAGACAAAAGGGATTTTGAAGGGTTTGAGGCTAACCCTGAGAGGAGTATGCCAGTTGAGGAATCAATTGTGGCATTGGGGAAGTCCTTGGGGTTGGAGGTTATGGGGATGTGTGGAAGAGTTGGTGGAGGAGGACATGAAGAACTAACCACTGATGAGTGATAGATCAACTTCAACAGCAAGAGGCCAGACCTGAGGAAACTGGTTCAAAGGAGGGGAGAGGAAATTGAAGAAATTGCCTACTACAAAGATAAAGGAAATCTGTGCAATGTGACTGAAAGTGCAAACCTATATGGATGAAAATCACCCTCACACAGCTATGCAAGCCGTGCTGGTGACTATTTCACTGACAATGTTGTGAACACTTTAGGGAAGTCATAAAGGAACGAGAGGTACAGGCCACTATTTGGGCAGATTGTTGTGCGAAAGAAGTCCCGTGACTCTGAAGCTGGTCCTAGTGCATAAAAGAAGAAGGGAAGTAACCCCCCGAAAAGGACTCGACACCTCAAATCTTAATGGAAGGGATTCCCCTTCTAAACACTAACACTCTCTCTCCCCTCCTCCCATCCCATCAATCATCACCAGATCTTCAATAAAAGTAAGTGTCATGTAATTGTGCATGCCTTTTTCAGTTTGTGTGTATTAAAATTAACATTTCATGTGGTAAAAATTTTTTTTTTCATACTTTCGGGTGTCTTGCACGGATTAATTTGATTTCCATTATTTCTTATGGGGAAAATTCATTCGCATACCGAACATTTCGCATAACAGCCAGCCCTCTTGCACGGATTAAGGTCGCTATGCGGGGGTCCACTGTATTCTAATCTAACCACTCTGTAATCCGGCAAACTCAATAATCCGTCACACTACATGTCCCAACGATGCCAGATTAGTAATGGCTGACCTGTATAGTATTGGCATGCCTCTTTCAAGACAGTGATGGATTGAGTGATAATGAGACTGTTTTTTTCTTTTTTGGATCACTGCCTTGGTGGGAAGCAACCACTATGTTAAAAAAATTGTGTATTAATTTTATAATGGTTACTGATGGTGTATTAGCCATCCCCATTTTCTCTGAATGGAGTGCCATGATCATTTTCTCAGGAGGTAATAGAGAATGTACTGTGTCAAACACCAGTTTACCCCCATGCTTTAAGTGTTTATTTAACCCTTTGACTGTCAAAAGGCCCAATCCTGAAGTGTCTCCTGGTGTCGCAAAATATTCGAAAAAAAAAAAAATTTTCTTCTTATGAAAATGTTAAGATTATTTTTCTGATTGTTTTAGTCCAAAAAAAAAAAATTCCCATCAGTACTTACCCAGATATAGAGGCATGAAGTTTGCAGAAAATGAGCTGCATATGGCAACAGCGGCGACTGCCGCTCGCCCGGTAAACTTTGGTTTACTTGTATTTGAAGGTTTATTGTTTTTTTCACTATTTTATTTTTTCACAT